GTGTGGGCACCGGGGAAGTTTGAGATAGGGATAAATGGGCGGGGCGGGGGGAGAGAAATCCTTTGTGGTTTTGTCCTCCTTTGTTCCGGAATTAACTTGACCAGTGGGGCTGGGAAGCAGCACGATTTCGATTTGAAAAAGCAAAGGAGAAGGGGGGGCTCTTTTGATCCTCGTCGGGGAAGATGATGCTCGGGGAGGCGGCTGGAGGCGCAGGCACCGGCGCTGGGGTCTCTCTGCGGCGGCTCACAGCCAAATTTCGTTGAAGGCACTATTTCTGCTTTGCATGGGAACTTTCGGCGTTAATTAGCCATGTTGCTCCTACGAGCCGGGCTTACTCCTCTCTGCTCATCCGTTCCCAGGGAGAGAAAACAGTGTGTGTAGCGCTAAAACGCAGCAAGACAAAATAATCAGCTTTAAAATTACGTGTTGGCTTGAGGGGGGGCAGGGAAAGGGGAAGAGAGTAAAGCAAAATAAGTCTATTGCCTGGAGAAATGATGCAATGTTACTGCTGCCCAGTGGCAGCAACCGGAATTGGGTCATTTTAGGGACAAACGTCGGCAAAATTCAAGTCACGTCCACTTTTGATATAAGGATGTGTCCTCTTTAAAAATTGTTATGCAAAAGACTCTAGTACGTGATCTTCTTGCGATAAAAAGCAGCAAGCCAAATATTGGAGCCCGAGTCAATAATGTATGAACAGATTAAGCAACCTTTCTCCCAGGCAATTATTTCAGCATTTGAAAACCTCGCCGGCTTCAAATTTAGAAAATAATAATAACAATAATAGCAAAAGTAAATAAAGCCCAGCGCAAGTGCTGCTCTTTGCCCCTTGCTCGGGAAGGGTGGGCGAGTTTTGGTTGTTTTTTTTTGTTTTGGTTTGGTTTTTGGTTTTGGTTTGTTGTTGTTTTTTTTTTTCCCCAGCCGGGGACAGTAGCTGAGAAGGTATTTAAAACAGCAGCAGCCTGAAAATCACAACAATTCATAATCATCTATGGATCGCGGGAGTAAATAGGCATATCGCGGGGACACCGGCCTGCCTGTATTTATTTGTCTTTAAAGCTCCGGGTAAATTAAGTTTCCGGCTGTGTAATTCTAACAAAAGGTGATAGAAAACGCACTGGGGGAGTAATAGATGGTGGCACCGGGGATCAGAGGGGGGAATGGGTTTAATGCTGATTTATGTGCCGAGGGCCGGGGCGCGCCGCCGCCTCCGAGCGGAGCCCCGGGGTCGTCCCTGCGCTCGTCCTCGGGAGGCTGCTTCCCTGCGTGGGGAAAGACACGCGTCCCTCCCTGGCCCCGAGATCCCGTTGGAGGGGGTGGGAATAAATTCGGGTGCAGGAGGAGGGCGGTGGGTGCGGGCAGGAGGGACCCGGGTGCCTTTGGCCTCCCAGCGGAGGGCAGAAGGCAGTGAGCTGGGACGGGTT